CACCTATTTTCGCAAAGTTGCATGTGTAGTTTAAGCAACAGTATATTATTGTGTGATTTAAAATGTGATGTTTGTAGCTTTATAACAGAGCAGTTATTGAGTATAGTATCTTTATTCAGCGTTGCACTTTGTAGACGGTCCCTGACCCCTCCTCTCTCCCCTGGCTGCAGACAGACACCTGTGTGATGTGTCCAGCTCAGAGGGCGGCGGGTGTGAAGTTGTTTTGATGAAATTGGATTGTGGATAGTTGTTTACCTTATTACGGTAGTTAGTTTCTGTTTTAGCAACGTTTTGTTTATGAGTGTTTGATCCGTGAAGTTCCAATCCTTCAATATAACTATCTGCTGCAACGACCCCTCAGCCCCCGGAATGATTTCATCTTTATTCTCCTAACATAACAGCTTTAATCTCGTAATTATCCTTATAATAAAACATTGCTCCTACATGTAACATAATAATGAAAAGTTTAACTGTGAACTGTCCTCACTGCATGTTCGATTAAATCTCATCATCTTTTTTGAAGCAGTGCTTTTTTCTTCTGAGCCGTGCCTTGGTTCCTGACGAAGTCTCTAATATTTTGCAAAGAGCGACCAGCCAGAATAGGATGCTCTGCTGCTTTGCACTGTCTGCATTCTATCATCGTGGCCAATTTCCCCTTGGCAATGTGTGCATTAAAGTGTCTCAAAACTGCTGCCACCTCTTTTGGAGACCACTTCTGTTTTTGCATCCTCCTGGGATTCCTCTCCACAGCATTTTCAAGAGACTCTACAAACAGAAAAAGAGATCAGTCAATGGTAACCACGTTAACACGTATTTTATTTAAGATGTATTATGTTACTTACTAAAACTATAACTACAAATGGGTTTGGGATGAAGGAATCAAACTGTCTTTCCGGCTTTCATTCTTCCAATTTCTGATATTGTGCTGGTTCTGAACAATAGCATGTAAGGATCAAATGCTAATGCTTGCTCTTTGCCATATTTAAACATCTGTAAGTCTAACTGTGCAGAGCTTGCAGGAATGATTCTTCTGTATGTAGGGTTACGTTTTCTTTTTTTACTTAAGCAGCTTAAAGTTAGTATTTGACATAATAATAGTACTAACAGGATCAAGTTTTCTGAGACTTGTATTTCGTCCTCACAATGTTTTTAAATGACTTCTTAACAGGAAAAAGACGCATGTAACAATATAGTTTCAGGAAACCATATTCTGATCATTTTTGGTCATGATAAACTCAAATCTTCCAGTTTAACAGAAAAATTCAGTTCATGGCTTTAACGTTTAACGCTTCACGATAACCTGAACCAGGGTTTAACCTCCATGCTTGAGAAAGTGACTCATTGGTAGTAGCAGAGTATTTTGTGTACATTTACCAGGTGGCTCATGCGTGTCCCCTCTCCTGCCAGGCTCCTTGTCATTCTCATCTGCATTTGTGTTCAATGATAGAAAAGAAGAAGAAAACATCCATCTTAACCAAGAGATTTGTGTAAATATTCAATCTTCATTTCAGCTATTATGTTATTACATTATTACAAAAACAGGGAGTCTACACCCGCACTTTGACAAAAAAGAAAGGTGATACTTAAAGTTGTACACCAATTCTCCCTCAATAATATAATACATTAACCGTGCTTTACGTGAACCTCATCCTGACACAAGAGAGGACGGCAGCACTGTAATTTCCCGTGTTCAGTGAATGCAACAGAGGCATGACACCAGACCAATCAGAGAGTTGCATGGAAATAAACGTGTGCTTGTGTCATTCAAGCTCGGCTCTGTGGGTGTTTCTCAATCGCGAGTAAAGCTGCTTCAGAGCCACTATTTCAAGCATACTACGTCATCGAGTGCCGCCGAAGTACTGTTCCAATCTCCAGTATACTTGGAAATCTACCGAGCCCGGCGTACTCCGTTTGGAGAAATATCGAGGCTGCACATGAGTAGACTTTGCGGTCTTAAAATCCCCACAATGCTTTGCGCACGGACCAATTTCCCCAAATCTGTGGCGGAAGATGTAAGGCGGGGCCTCTCATATGACGCACACCTGCACACTTGCTAGCGTGTTCCACACTTCGTTTTCCGAATGCCAGGAAGTATTCTTGACTCGCTTCTGAAGCAAGATGCTCGGCAGACATGTGCTACCAAGCAAGCGTACTCGCGATTGAGAAACACCCAGAGAGAGGGAGAGAGGGGGAGGGAGGGACCGGTGCCAGCAGGGACCGTGTTGTTAGCATCTGGTTAGCTAGCTGCACTAACGGACATAAGGAGCTGTTTGTTCCACAACAAGCTGGAGGAGAGTCCTCTCCTCTCAGACTGAGAGACTCAGGTGAGCTAAAGGACTCTCTTACCCCATTCACACCAACGGTGTTTCAGGGCCGGTTCGGAGCTGGAGCTTGAAAAGCACCGGGTTTTCCTGTTCACACCGCAGCGGAGCAGCGTCATAGCTCCGGAATCCGGTTCATTTCAAGCACCAAAAAGTTGTCCGTCTAGAAAGCCAGCACCGCATACGTCACGCTTACGTTGGAGGCGGGGGCAGGGGCAGGGGCGGGATCAACCTCTAACAACAACAAAAAGCCTGCGTGTTATCCAGATTGTACACAATGATGGAAAACCTAAGACTTAACAAGCAGCAGTGGTCCACCGAGGAGACGAGCTACCTACTGGGAATCTGGTCTTCCGAAGAGGTTCAAAGGAAGCTGGAGGGGACCACGCGGTCCAAAGCAATTCTACAAGAATTGCAGCAAGACATGGCAACCGCTGGGTTTGACCGTACAGTTGAGCAGATTGCCAACAAATTGAAGAAGGTTAAGAAGGATTATCGGGACCAAAAGCGAGACCTCGGACGGAGTGGCAGCGGTCGTCCTAAAGCAAGTCCACATTTTGACTTGCTAGACTCGGTCCTCGGAGACAGACCGACGAGTGGTTATGGATCGACGGTTAACTCGCTTTCTCTCTCGTAGCTGTGTACTACACAACATATGTGAGGAACATAGTGACAACTTCACTGAAGATTGCCATGAACGTCTTGTGTACAACCAACCCCCTTTACACCCCTTTCCAGATAATGGTAGACAAGAAGGAGCTGACGTTAGATCCGCATTGATGGACTATTTCAACATGGAGGACCACTAATATTACTGCAGTTAAACCTGATCTATTTTGTATCATGTCTCTTTTTTTTTATTACAATAAAATCACTGGATCACACTTGAATTGTGTTTATTTTGTATACAAATCACAGAATCTAGATACAAACAGGTATGAACAATATTCTTATAGAAAAAGTGCATACCCAAACGGTTTAGACTATATTCTTAACTCAAATACACAGTGGGCCAAAATTTAAAAATCGGTACTAGTCGAGGGCCGGACTGGTTCAATGTTTATTGCAAAACTCATTGCCCATATTAAACATGGAACTAATAAAGCTTAAATGGTTGTAATGATGGATAACACTGGTAAAATGAGTTGATCTAAGTGTATCATGCCTATCCTTTTTCCCAATAACATCAATGGATCAGACATGACTTTTGTTTATTTTATATACAAATCAAAGACAAGTATGGACAATATTCGTATATAAACAAGATTTATTCCAAAAAATAAATAAGCAGTGAACTAGCCAACCCATGACTGCTCTCTGACCTTTGACCCTTCTATGAGGACATGACATGCAGGATACAAGTATTAATACATTTTTCTGTTAAGGCATTTTCTTAATGGACATCATTCGAAAACCACCACCGGGTGGCTGCACACCGTATTTGAACATTAAGAAAAAGAGCATATTGACATTCTTTTCTTTTGTTTTTTAAGATGTTTTGGTATGCATTTTAAATATAAATTAGAGATGTTTAAAAATCTACTACTGTAACCTCTCCCAAAAATGAGTTCAGTATTTTTATGTGTATTTATGTGTGTGCAATACAGAAACATCTGGAAGATCAAAATGTAAAAATTGAGCTTGCTTTAGTTCTGGTAATGTATATACATTGTGAAAAACAAACATTGAAATGGCTATTCTTGCTATCAGAGGAATTAAGAGTTTACATAAAATCCAGTATATGAGCTACATTTATGTTTGCTATGAGCTAAGTCATGTTTGAATTGTCCAATTTCAATCTATAATACTAATTTAAATGTAAAGAAAAGCAGAGCAGCTTACACTTTGCATCGAGATATGTTTGCCTTTTATATCAGTGAAATAAGAAATAAGAGAATGTAGCATATATGTAATATATGAAAATTCAAGAATATTGTGTAGTGCAGGGGTACTCAAACTTTTTTATTAAAGGTCCAGTTGTGAACTTTATACAAGGTCACTGGTCCGGATCAATGCCAGTAAAGTCCGTCCGTCCGTCCCCCCCCCCCCCCCCCCCCCCGAGCGGAGAAACGAAACTGAAATTAAGAAGCAGTTTCTTGGCGCTCTATGCATAGGTGTTTCATGTTGTCGTTGCTGTGGACCTTCTTAATCTACCTTCTTTGGGGGACCCCTTCTGGTCCAAGCACTTGCCTGCCTTGCCTGTCGGTAAACGGCGCCCGTGTATACACACACACATTCAATACATACATACAGTATGGTGGCTTGAACTAGTGGGAGAGATGGCACTGTTTGTCTGTAGTCAATGCTTTGAACCTCTGCAAAAAAGGCATTAGAAGCATTAGAAAGTCAAGGTAAACTTGCGGTTAACTTGCGGTCTGCTATGCGTGTCATGCTCGCACACACAAGTAAATATATATGCACGTTCATTCTCACAACGCGTCAGACACAAGACGCGCGTACACAATAATGTACATTAATTTATCAGAATCAGAATTTTTTTTTTTTTTTATAATGGGACACAGGGTTCGGTCCGGATTGATTTGCAGTTCGGTCCGGATCCGGACCTTGGTCCGGAGTTTGAGAAGCCCTGGTGTAGTGCATGGGGGGGATTATTGTAAGTAAGATCATATGAAACTATAATATCAAACATAGGACTTTTGTGTATTTTATATACAAATCAAAGACAAGTATGGACAATATTCGTATATAAACAAGATTTATTCAAAAAACGTGTGGAGAATATACTTTATATACTATAATAATGTGTTAAAAAAAAAGAATGTGTGTTGAAAAAAGGTATGAACAAAAAAAGTATGAACAATTTACATACAAAAAATAAAGTCAGCGCTTGTTGGTCTCCATCACCTTCACAATCCTGTCTACCAAGCCAAGCATTGAGTGGCTGTTCTCCTCAATTTTGCTGAACACCTTTAGGAAGTCAGCATTGGCAGTATTGGCAGTATGCACCTCCTGAAGCATCACCTGGCCCTGCTCCAGTAGCCTTTCATCCCTCACGTCACTTTTCTCCATATAACTCAGAAGGCCAGATGACGAATCCCGCTTCCTTTTAACTACAAAGGGAAAAATATTAAAGTCAACACAGTATTCATGACATTTTATGAGATGTATATTATATACTGTGTAATGAAATGTTGTATTGTTATTATGGCTGCAGTTGCATAACTTGAACAACTACTACAATGACTATGCCATGATAAATGCACATGGCAACAGGGAACAGTATAACTATAATGATCACTGTAAACCTTACCCTGTTTGTTTCGGCCCACTGGCTGGATTAGGTTCACCAGACATTCCTGGGAAGAGCTGCTTGCCGTAAGAGGAGACCCTTCCATCCGCACTGGGGAGCTACACGCCGACGGTAGTGGTGGTTCCGACACAGTACGCTCCAAACCAGATATTTCTGTAAACACAATATAAACACAATGAACAAAAGTAGCTCTTCAACAAATCATAAATCGTTAGTGAGAAGAAAGAAGATACATTGGAGGCGTTAGCTGTCTTTGCCATGGGGATACCTTTGTTTATTTTGTTAGCATTAGCATGCTAGCGCTATTATTGGTTTGGATGCACATCCGGTAGCTGTAGTAGCTCAACTTTAGCTTTATTGCCAGGTCTGTCGATAGCTAGATGGTTGTAAAACAAAAAGTCACAAATAAAACAAATCGGTAATGCATAACTCACCGGCAAATGAGCTCTGCATCCGCCTTTCCGCCAGCTTCAACATGATCTGTGGAAATAACATTGAGAATCAGTTTTAATGTTATACCATAGTAATTAATGCTGCAAAGCTGGGTATGTTGAGCTTGGCGCATGCAGAGGCTAACAACAGCTAGCTCTAACGCCATCGAATAGGACGTATATTTACCTTCTTTCTCCTAACGGATCGTCGTTGAAGTTGATGATGATGATTGTAAAGAAGTCTTGAATGTAGCATGAAACGACTGTGAAGTTGGTAGTAAAGTCGTCCCATTTGTACCATTTGTTCCATTTCGTTTCGACAGAGCAAAACCACAACGAGTAGCGCTTCAATACAATCTGCCATTGTTGTTGTCGATGTGAGGGGTTTCCGCGCGGTTTGGCTTTATGAAGCAGGCACGCAAACGGTTACGTCATGACGCAAACGATGACGCAATGACGCAGCACCAGTCGGACTCTGAGCGGTGTGAAAAGAGCCGGAGCTAAACCGAAGAACCGGTTCTGAACCTCAAAAGCTCTAGCACGGAGCTTGAACCGGAGTTGCGTTGGTGTGAAAGGGGCATGAGAGTGTTTAGATACTTAACTTTAGTCTAAGTTATCTCAGTGGGTCTCAAACGGTTTGGTCACAAATTATTCAAAAGATTATTTCCGCGGCACACCTTCATATGATCATTATAGATATACAAACAATAAGAGAAAAAAGGAAAAACAGTTATGAAATACTATATGGCAGTAAAACAAGAATAGAGTTTAAAAGGGGAGTGATTAGTAAAATATCCATAAAGAAAAAGTACATCTGTTTACAGTTCTGCTTCATATGGGTGTTGAAGGAAAAAGATATGATTCTACACTGTATTGAAGTAAACATGTATTGTTTGAACGGGTTTTGATAATCACTTAGAAAAAGAATGTTATTCTCACTTTTAAACTCACTGATCCAGAGATTCTGTGTTTCACACACCAACATTGGCTGTTATCATCTCTAAGAGCCAGATGCTGTTTCTAAGTCGTTAAAGACATCGTAAAATAGGAAAAGATCCCCTGGGAAAGGAATGTAGAGTAAGATAAGGTAAAGATAAACATTGACTTTTGACCTGGGGTGGCTTGGGATCTCACATGCTGGGCAGACCTCTGATTGAACCCGGCCAGAAGCGAATCCAGCCAATCAGGACACTTGGGGGAGGTTAGCAGTTTAAACAGCTCCTCCCCAGGGGTTCTCTGATTCGCTTGGGAGAAAAGTGGGAAGGAAGAATCGACAAATCTCCGCCCCAAAGACAGATAGAAATACTGACGTTTGTGTGTGTAAAATTGCTTTTGGGTTTGGTGAGTGGCAGGTCCTGAGAACTGTGTCCGTATCGCATCACAAACCTGAAGTCCAATTTCTTTTTGGTTTGATGAGTTGGCGGGTCCTGACGCATTTGTCCGCATCGCATCACAAATCTAAAAGTCCGGAGTACTCGAGTACTCTGTATAACTTGTATATGTGTTTGGTTTCCTACTAGAAGTAAACTCAGATAATTTGTTATAACTTTGATTCCGGTGTTTTCAATTCCTTTCTTAATTTAATAGAGATCCAGCCTCATCCAACGAACGGCGCGTAGCAGAAGTATTCTACTCCAACAGTGTTGAGAGAGGTATCCACAGATCTCTTCATTTTGCTCTCAAAGTGCACCAGATTGATGCATTTAACTTCAATATTTAAAAAAAAATCTTCCCGGGGGAGCATCCCCCCGGACCCCCCAGAGGAGGTGAGGTCTGCCCCCCACTCATAAAAAATACCACTTTACCCCTGCCTATATGCCGTGAGCTGATTATCGAGCCTTCATTGTAACAGTTGCGGGTGTACTGTGTGTGTGTGCGTGTGTGTGCGTGTGTGTGCGTGTGTGTGTGCGTGTGGGGAGTGTTGCAGTAAAAAATGCCACTGTGGGCTAAGCCCCGAATGTTTTCAGGTCCAGGCGACGCCCCTAGGTGGGGCTGTGGAAATGGTGATCAAACAATACTAGAGGGGTCCGGGGGGATGCTCCCCCGGTAATTTTTTTTGAGAAAAGACCCCTTAAATCATGACTTCTGGTGATGTTAGAGGGGGGGAGAAGGACAATTTGAGGCTTAAAAATATGAGAAGACTGATCAATACCTCCATAACTTCAGTGTGGTTAGCTATGAATCTTCCAAAACTTCCAAACACCTTGTCCTGGACATAGTTTCTACAGCATAAACTGTGCAACAGTACAGTAGGCCCACACAAAGTATCAGTATCAGTATCACACTGAGCGATCAGAACTCGCGACAGGGGAAGCAAATACAGACATCACACGACGTAGCTTTAGGTAGCAAAACATGGAGATATGCTCACCTTTTGCAGAATAACAATTCTGATCAAAAACGAGAAAAACGCAGCTGAAGGTTAATCCATAGGTTAATCCAATGTGTCTGTCACTTTGAAAAATGATTGATGATCCATAATTCCATTTTTATGTCAAAAACGGAGTTTTCATTAGCTGCTAATGGTAGCTTCCAGAGTGTATGACAGCTTCCTGTTTTGTCTCCTTGGATACGAGTCCAAACAACTCACAGACTGCACCGGGCGCTCACGTAGGAGCCCTGTGACCATCATATTTGACGACGCTGATTGGCTGAAATTATGTTTTCGCGGCATAGTTTACACGTTACAGATAGCAACAGTCAGCTGCTAGTGGCTGCTGCTGCACTGGTTGAGGGCTCCTCTCTTAGCGCCCAGACGAGAGAAGGTACACGGGCAAGGCCAGGCAGGTAACATGTGACTTATCAGTAACTTTAGACATCGTAACACAATTTTAAACGAGATTTTATTGTAGATTATACATTTTACTGATACCAATTATATAATATTTACCTTGTTCATTAAAAATAAAAATAAAAATATATATATTTTTTAAAATATATTTTTTATTTTTATTTTTATTTTTATTTTTTAATATGGGAAGAGGAGGGGCGGCGCCCCTAGCGCCCCTATGGACCGGCCGCCACTGCGGCCCGGCTAAAATAACTGGATGGCCTACCTGCCTGTCAGCCTTCCATCTGTGCACAAACTTATCTCGTGCCCTCATTGGTCATGTGCGCGTTCGTGTGTATTTTCAAATTCTAGCGCACTCGAGCTGGTTTCTCCAAAATTACCTACCCCACCTTTAAGTACACTTAAATGTGTATTTCATGGCCGACGCACGGCCATGAAATACAAATTGAGTTTGGGCGACAGGGCACGCTTCGTGGTCCGACTAACAAAAACGGCCGATTTCGGCCTGGTGTGTCAGGGCCTTTATGATTATTATCTCATTCTTCACCTTGAACACACTCCAGCACTGCCTGTACAGGTGAGACTAACTGACTGCAAACGTCCCGTCTGACTGGGAGATAAATAAAGGGTTTTATAAGTATCAAAATTGCATGAAATATGCTTGTAAAGTCTATTTTATTAATGCCTTTAAAAAGTGTGTGCAAGTAGTGGAAGAAGTATTAAAGAGGCACTAAAATGCTTTTAGGGTTTCCCCTTTCCTGTAGTGTGTTCTAGAGGTTTGTGTGCATGTGAATGGTCTGCAAAATAATACATATTACATAAAAAATACTTAGATCTTATACTTGAGTAAAAGTAGAAGTACTCAGATCTTGTACTTGAGTAAAAGTAGAAGTACTCAGATCTTGTACTTGAGTAAAAGTAGAAGTACTCAGATCTTGTAGTAAAAGTAGAAGTACTCAGATCTTGTACTTGAGTAAAAGTAGAAGTACTCAGATCTTGTACTTGAGTAAAAGTAGAAGTACTCAGATCTTGTACTTGAGTAAAAGTAGAAGTACTCAGATCTTGTACTTGAGTAAAAGTAGAAGTACTCAGATCTTGTAGTAAAAGTAGAAGTACTCAGATCTTGTACTTGAGTAAAAGTAGAAGTACTCAGATCTTGTACTTGAGTAAAAGTAGAAGTACTCAGATCTTGTACTTGAGTAAAAGTAGAAGTACTCAGATCTTGTACTTGAGTAAAAGTAGAAGTACTCAGATCTTGTAGTAAAAGTAGAAGTACTCAGATCTTGTACTTGAGTAAAAGTAGAAGTACTCAGATCTTGTACTTGAGTAAAAGTAGAAGTACTCAGATCTTGTACTTGAGTAAGGAGGCTGTGGCTCAGTGGGTAGTGTGCTGGACTTCGAATCAGGGGGTAGCAAGTTCGAGTCCCACTGCAGTCAGCATGTCGTTGTGTCCCTGAGACACTTCACCCCAAATTGCTCCTGTGGGGATTGTCCACAGTACTGAATGTATGCAAGTCGCTTTGGATAAAAGCGTCTAACAAATGACATGTCATGTAATGTAAAAGTAGAAGTGCTCAGATATTGTACTTGAGTAAAAGTAGAAGTACTCAGATCTTGTACTTGAGTAAAAGTAGAAGTACTCAGATCTTGTACTTGAGTAAAAGTAGAAGTACTCAGATCTTGTAGTAGAAGAACTCAGATCTTGTACTAAAGTAGAAGTACTCAGATCTTAAAGTAGAAGTACTCAGATCTTGTACTTAAGTAACTAAAGGTATTACATACATGTAGTGGAGTAAAAGTACAAAGTAGTGAAAAATGGCACTTAAGTAAAGACCCATTTTCAGACAGTTTGTTCAGGGAGGAGGAAATGTTTCACAAGCTGCTCTTAAACAGGGACTATAACACACCATTCTGAAATATAGCTATACATCTCCAGATGTGTAAAGAGATGTCCTTTATGCATTGAGAAAATATTCCTACTTGTGCTCAATACACTATTTGAAAGCCTCTTGGATCAGTTGTAAAATGCATCGTCACAAATTTAAATAACAAGCCTCAACAGTTCTTCCTCCAATCCCTCTTGGCAAACAGCCACTGAGACGTGGGACCACACTGTAAGAGGAGAGTTTCCATTTCCTGGAAATGAAAGCTGAATTTTGTCGGAGCGACAGCAGAGCAGCAGTGTCTGTTTCTCTGAAGAAACAACTGAATCCAGCAGCTTTTTTCAACACAGCAGAACCTCTGCAAACACTGGTGAGTGCACTACAGACACATCACTCACTAAATATCTAGTCACAGTTGGATTCATATAAGAATATTATACTATAGAAATGTGTCAGTTAAGATATTAGCAACAGCCACAAATACAATGTAAACTCTGGGTAAGGAAGGTTAGACAGAATACAGCCAAAGCTAGCATTAGCTTGTACTTATTTTCATATTTCCTGTATTTGAAAACATCTTTATAAATGACTTTATTAAACAAAGTAGTATCTAAGTATTAGATTTGTTCTGGACTGTCCAAAGCAAGGTAAGGTAAGGTAAAGTACGTTTATTTATATAGCACATTTCAGATGCAGAG